GCAGACATTTTACGAAATCCAGAAGTTCGGAGTGAGTTTTCTCAATTTCCGAATTTCCAACTTTTCGAATTTTCTCATTTTGTCATTTTTGAATTTCTGCTTTTCTAATTTTTTCTTGAATTTTTGTTATTTCTGCGAATCATTGATTTTATATGCAAAGAAATGGAAATCGGAAAATGGGCGGAGTCAGAAACGCCCCCCTTTTCCCCAGGTAATGAAAATAATAATACTGTAGCATTGCTCATCACTATCCACTGATCCCTTCTCAAAATACTCCCACTGGACCCTATTATTTTTTCATTTCTTTTCTGCCACTCTTGTTTTGAACATTTCCCTCTTCTCCTCCAAAAATAGGTGTTTCTTGCCCACTAATTTTCTCTCTCAAACTAGGAACTTTCCTTTATTTTTGACCCCCAAAAAGTCATGTCCAGTGACACAAACCTTCTATATTCCCTGGAGACACTTTCTTCTTCTTCTTCTTTTCTTTTAAAATTCAGAAGACATGGTCTTCGTGGAAGCGGGAGAAGTGTTCCATCATTCTCAGGGACTCATTCTCCTTTTTCACAAAAATTTCCTCCCGAAAATTTCAAAATACCTCTTCCTGAAGCCCCGGTGTCATTTTCAGTATGATTATGTTCAAAAAATAATTGTTTTTATTTCCATTTCTAATGACTAATGCCCTTCATTTCTTTCTTTTTTTTTGAGTACAAGAATTTAAGAGTTCTCTGTGTATAGTATGTTTATCCATTAGCAAGATTATTTTTTGGTAGTGATCTCTTTTTATGGGGCCCTCATAAAAACGTCGTCCACTCGTCTTCCGAAAAAGAAAAGTGAAAAAAGGATTAGCCAAAAAGGGTCCATTTCCATATGTTTTGATGTCTTCCGCTTCCGAATGTTCTTGGTTTGTGATTGGTTTGTCCATGACATTCATTTTCACAATTTCTTGATTTTTTTTGGTTGGTTTGATATTGCCTGGATTCCTAGCTTTCTGAGCTATAAAATTCTGGGATTCCAGGATTTTCGGTTTCCGTGATTTCTAGATTTTTGGATTCCAGAATTCTAGAATATCAGAATCTCCAAATCTTGAAATTTAAATTCTGGCAAAAACTGGATTTCCTGTAAAATTTCAAGTTTCTTATGCTGTAAAACCTATAATAGAAGGCCCTTCCATTGCCCAGTTTGAGCTTAATTATCTCAGTTTCAATGCAAGATATCAAAAATGTTCCAACTGATGAAATGTAAGTGATAATATAATAAACACTTTATCAGTGGACAATTTTTTGATATCTTTCACAGAAAAGGAGAGATATGGGCTCAAAGTTAATAGTTTAGAAACCCCATTGTACCCGGTCATCTCGAACATTTTTTCTCATCACACAGATCTGTTCTTGCCAGAATTTCCACGTCACCTTGACTCATCTTATTCTTCTTCTTTCTTTTTACTGTTCACCTCCTTCGCCTATTGTTCCTGTCCCCCCGCCCATTATTTTTCTTATTTAAAGCCCATTGTGTTCTGATATTTCTAATGAGCCATTATCAAAAAAAGCAAATCATTAAAAACATTTTTGTTAGTCACTATCAAGCTGCTCCTCACAAAATCCTTGTCTAATTTTTATTATCCTTGGCACATTTCTCACCATTTAACGTCATCTGAAACCCCAAAAACGCGTCAAAGGCGCACCAGTCTCTCTCCAGTTTTTTTAGGGGTGAAGGGAGGTGATGGGATGAGTGACAGATTTTTGACATTTCGTATTTTTCTATTCATCTCCCACTTGAACAAAAAACTTTATCTTTCATCTCCCATCTTTTGATTCTTATGTTTTCGGTTAATTTTTTTGCAGAAGACGTCACTACTTTTTTTAAAACAAACAAACAAAAATGAGCCAAAAAAACAAGTCATGCAAAAAAATCACCTGAAATTTTTGTGAGAGATGTATGCTTTTTGACAGATCACTGAAAAATGGGTGCCATTTTTATCAACCTTGTAGATATTACAGCCTAAAATTTCAGCTAATTTTTCAGTAACGGTATTTTTCTAAATCACACCATAAATGCTCTTTTAAAATCCCAACATATACGTTCACTTTGAACTGAATTATCTCGGTTCCTTGGAAAGATATCTAAAAGTGGTCAACTGATAAAATGTTTATCATAATATCACCAATATTTTATTAATTGACAGATTTCTGATATTTCCTATAGGAACCGAGATAATTTAGCCTAGAGAGAGAGTATACGGTGAATTTCCGTTAGATCAGTTACGTTAGGTTCTGAACAGCTGGAAATCTTATAGTAACGGATTCTGAAGTTTTAGGGTTTTGACATTTAGAGATTGAATTGTGAAAGTCCAAAATTCTGGATAATTTAGAATTTTTAGATTCAGAGATTTTCAAATTCAAAAAGTTTGAGATCATGATTCTGAAATTCCGCCATTTTTCCAAAATGAGATTCGAAATTCCAAAATCATAAAAATTTCAAACTTTCGAAAATCTCAAATTCCGAAATTTCAAAATTTCGGAACCTTGAAATCTCGGTTCGCAAGAACCAAAATCCTGAAATTCCAAAATACAAATTTCGAAATATTCAAAAATCCAAAACTCGAGAACGAAATTCCACAACTTCGAGTTTTTTCAGAAAAAATCGAGCTAGGGAATTTCAAAATTTGAAATTCCCAAATTTCCAATTTCAAAATCTCGGAATAGTAACATACAAATCATAGGATTCCAGAGTTAAATTCATGATTCCACAACATTTTTTTCAAAGTTTTGTTCAAAAATTCAGAGGAGTCTCAGGATTTCACTTAGAATCCAAAAAACTTAGAATCTCAGAAACTTAGAATCTCAAAATCTGAAAAACTTGTAATCTCTGAGCTCCACTACCAGAAAATCTCACAATTCAAAATTCTGTAGTCTCGAAAACCCGAGAATTCGAAATTCCGAAACCTTCAATTCAAAGATCCGTTAATCAACTCAATTATTCAATCCAATTAAAGGGGGACTCCGACCAAAAATTTTTATTGCATTAAAATGTGTTAAAAGTTATCTATTTTCCGAATATTATTGCGAAAAAATTCAAAAAAATCCGAAATTCCCAAAAAACGCCGTTGAAAAGGAAGAAAATTCAAAAAAAGGTGCCGCCGGGGGACGAGGATTTTCAGTGAGAAACCTAGGCCACGGCACCTGACAGCCATTCCTATGTGGCAAATTGTCCGGATTTTTTTCAATTTCATGTCCGGCAGGTAAAAAACGTAAAAAACCACTGTCGGCGACTTGAAAAAATGCTGTCAGGTGCCGTGTCCTAGGTTTCTCACTGAAAATCCTCGTCCCCCGGCGGCACCTTTTTTTGAATTTTCTTCCTTTTCAACGCCGTTTTTCGGGGATTTCGGATTTTCTTTGAATTTTTTCGCAATAATATTTGAAAAATAGATAAATTTTAACACATTTTAATGCAATAAAAATTTCTGGTCGGAGTCCCCCTTTAATGAAATCATCTACCGTAATCCTTTTCTTTCCCTTCCAATTGACCTTATCCATTTCCGTTATTCGGACCATCAACCAAATCAATTGTTAATTACCCTAAAAGCCCTTCTGCCCTTTTGTCTTTGACCCCTTATATTTGGTATTCAAACCAAATTACTCATTTCCAGGGGAGAGGCTCCCTATAAATAAATTGCTCATCCCTATTTTTACACCCTCAAGGTTTCTTTTTGATACATTTTTAGATCCCACTCGTCTATATTACTCATTGAAAAAATAAGGAAATTTTCTTTACTTTTTTCATTCATTGGGAAAAATTTTCATTGAAAAAAAATTGAAAAACTTCCTCCTGGAGAAAAAAAAACAAACAAGAAATTTTTCTCAAATCCTTAAGAATTTTAATTATAGTCTAGTAGTGGTGGGTGGTATAAACACACACTCCTTTACATTTAAATTCCCACCAAATCACTGAAAAATTCTGTTCCCGTTTTTTTGAGATCTCTGAAAGATTTCTGGAAATTTTAAATATTTTCATAACATCATTTAGGTAATACATTTTACGAAAACATGTAATTAAAGATACATCAAACACTTCCTTATTTATGTACATAATTTATAGTTCGAGCTAAATATTTTTGGGAATTTCTCAGAAAACAATTGAAATTTTAAATTTGATCATTGCTTTTGGACGATAAGCTCCGCCCATTTTACCTGAATTCTTCTAAGAAAAAGTGTGCGAAAAATAATTTCTTTTGAGTCAAAAGCTGAGAATCCATAATTCCAAAAGTTCAAAGTTGGAAACCCGAATTCCGAAATTCCAAAATTTTGAGACTTTTCAGAAATATCAACATTTTGAAAATCTAAAATCCCTAAATCTCGAAACCTCGAAATTCCTAAATTCCAAAGTAAAGAAACTCCGAAGTTTCAAAACTACAAAATTTCAAAGATTTAAAAAATTCACAATCCCAAAATTCCTGAGTTCTGAAATTCCAAATCTTTGAAATACTGAAATACTGAAATACCGAAATTCCAAATCAATGTTTTTCCAAAGTTACAGAATTCCAAAATACCCAGATTCGAAATCTTAAATTTCTGATTTCCCAAAATTCCGAAATCCCAAAGTCACAAAATTCCTGATGTCTAAAATTCTGAAATTTGAAAAAAATAATCCGAAATTTCAAAGTTTCGGAAGCCTAAAGTTTATAATTTCAAAAACCCCAAAGTTTTCATAATGTCAGGATTGTGAAATTCAACGGTTCCAGAAAACCGAAACTCCAAAGTTCAAAATCTCAAAATTCGAATTCCTGGAATCTTAAAATTTCAGAATCCCAGATTTTTTTCTTAGAATTCCTGAATCTGATATTGTTTGTATTGTAGAACCTGGGAGTTTCAAAAATTCCAATTTTCGTACCTTTTGGTGTTTTCAACAAGTTTCAAATCCAAGTAAAATTATTTATCTGAATTGTAATATGTAAAAAAAATTTTAAAAAACCTTTTTATCACAAAAATTTAATCGCACATTTTTCAATCATTCTTTTTCGTTGGTCCAAATCCACTGCTTCTTTTTCCAACATAACCATAAGGACTACCGTATTCGAATCCACCGTAATACTGTCCTGGATATCCATATCCACCGTATCCACCGTACGCATTTCCTCCGTAGATCCCATTACCGTAATACCCACCAGATGCTACCGGATATCCACCGTAGTACTGACACGTGGCAATTGAGAAGATGGTAACGAGGAGAAGAATGAAACTGGAAATTTTTTTAGAATCTTCTAGACCTTTTTTTGAGTAAACTTACAATTTGAGGAACATTTTTAGACAATACGAACTTTTGAAGAAACTGTAATTCTCTCCAAAATTTCCACTCCGTTTTATACTCATCTTTTTAATTGTCTACTCATTTTTTGTTGATAAAATTGAAAGTAAAAATCAACGAAAACTGTCAAAAATTCTATTTGTTTCCGAGAGTTTTTGTGTTCTTGGAGACTGGTTTTAAGAGCGAAAAGTAATCAAAAATTTCTCTTTGCATTCTGACCAAGAGAGATAGAGAAAAGAATTAATTCAAAAACTAGAAAAATTGAAAAAGAAGAGACTCCTTTGTTTTTTGTTATTCATGTGAAAATGTGCAAATAAGAGAGGATTTGACATATCGGACTCTTGTGAACTTTTAGAATATTTGAAAAGTCCGAAAAAAAAATTCTGATTTTGAGAATGGTTAATTGTCTGGCAGAGAGATGAACCATTTGAAAATATCCTAATTGGTATTTCGGAATTTAAAAAATTTCGGAATAATAATAATAATAATTTATTTGATTCAGGACTATCAGTCACTTATAAAATCAATGTGTTACAAATTAAACAAATGAGTTAGAAATTATGTTCGTCTAGGAACAGGAAAGAAGATAAATTAACATGACTTAAATTAGTTTTAAAAGAGATGGGTGGGATCAAGGGTGGGAACACGGTATTTGGAAGCGAGTTCCAGCAGGATTTAATACGGAGAGTAAGAAATTGAGCAGAAAGTTTTGAAGCATTTTTTAATGTACAGCGAATGTAATATGGGTGGCGTCTTAGATGATTATGATGAAACGGGACAATGAATATTGCAATTTCCCGGGAAACTAGAGTTTTATACATAAAAACTAGATCGGATAGAAGTCGACGGTACTCTAAGGATTCTAAATTGTGATCACGGAGACAATCAAAGTAGGATTTATAGGGATAGTTGAACTTCTTGTAACATCGGAACAGGAATGACTTTTGGACGCCTTCAAGAAGCTTGATTTGCTCCTTGAGGACGGGGGAGAAAACAATTGTACCATACTTAAGAATGGGGCGAATGTAGATGACAAAACATTTTACGAAAATATCCATTTTAGACCGGCGGAGAACATTAAAGAAAATGTTAATTCGTTGGTGTGCTTTCCGGAGTGTGGTAGCGAAGGGGTCAGAGAAGGCCAGTGACGAATTGAGAATGACTCCCAAATCACGAATCCTCTGAACAGTTGGCAATCTCTCGTCATTAATTAATTGAAAAATGATTGTTAGTGTTATTAAGACGTCTTTTATGAGAGAAAGAGATAGCTTCACATTTAGTGGGTGCAACACTCATTTGCCATGTATCACACCAGTCTTCGAGTTTTTCTAGATCACTTTCAATATGCAGTGGGTTAGTAGAGAATAGTTTCAAGTCATCAGCATAGAGTAGAAAGTTGAAAGAAAAGTTATCTCCTATGTCGTTAATGAAAATGAGAAACAGAAGCGGTCCGAGAACTGAGTCTTCAGGAACACCCGAGAGGACTTCCGTCTCTCTGGACAGCTCGCCATTCACGATTACTCGTTGTGTTCTGCCAATGAGAAAAGAGGAAAGCCAATTGTGCATTTTAGAGACTATGCCATAAGATGTTAGTTTAAGCATGAGCTTTTTGAAGGAAACAGTATCGAATTATGAGTTCTTGGAATTCTGGGATTTCAGGGATTTCGGAATTCGAGGATTTTAGGGATTTCAATTTTCAGAATTTCGGAACTTTGGAACTTGGGAATTGGAATTTGAGATTCTGACAGTTTGACAATTTGGAATTTAGGTGTTTTCGTGTTTTCGAATTTCCGAACTTCAGCATTTAAAATTTTTAAATTGCAAGAATTCTGGAATTTCCGATTTTTTTGGATTTTTGATTTCGGAATTGGAAATCAGAAACTTTGGAGAATAAAAATTTTGGGATTCCGGAATTTCAGAATTTCGAGACTTCAAATTTTATTTTATTTATTTTTATTTTTTAAGATTCCAATATTTTTACAAACTTTTGTCTTCAAGTATTCAGAACCTTGGATTATAGGATTTCCTCATTTTCCAAATTTCAATATTAAAGGGGGACTCCGACCAAACATTTTTATTGCATTAAAATGTTCGAAAAGTTGTCTATTTTCCCAATATTATAGCGAAACAATTCGAAAAAAATCCGAAATCCCCGAAAAATGCCGCTAAAAGCGAAAAATTTTCAAAAAAAAGTTGCTAGGAGGGACGAGGATTTGAACTCCCGCGCAGTGAGAAACCTAGACCACGGCGCCTGATAGCATTATTTTCAAGTGGCCGACAGTGGTTTTTTACGTTTTTAACCTGCCGGACATGAAAACCGAAAAAACCCGGAAAAATTTCCATGTAAGAAAGGCGCTATGATGCCGTGGCCTAGGTTTCTCACTGCGCGGGAGTTCAAACCTATTTTTTTTCAACGCCGTTTTTCGGGGATTTAGGATTTTTTCTGAATTTTTCTGCAATAATATTAGGAAAATACATTTTTTTTGAAACATTTTAAGACAATAAAAATTTTTGGNNGGAGTCCCCTTTTTAGCAATCTTTTCAAAATTTTGAGAAATTTATTATTTTCAGGTTCTAAGAAGCCAAGATTCCAAAACTTTTGATCTCTTTGGACACACATAAATATCATCAAATTCTCTACCTTCTACCAATACACGAACCCCCGAAACTCTTTCTGAATTTTTCATTTCCTCCATTAAAGACTCCTCTCGCATCATCCATTTCTTCACAGCTTTTCCTGCTCTTTTCCCTTCAAATTTCCCACGTATTCCCTCATCGCCGAGTGCCAAAAATATCAATTATTCATAGTTGGATTCAATTGGGTGCCACTATTTTTTTGTCTTTTTGGGAATATAACTTTTTGGTTTACCATTTTTAGAGTTTTCTATACTTGGCACTAGGAATACTCTACCTACAGTAACCCAGTTTCTTGATCTTTTGAGATCGAATTTTCTCAATTTCTGGATAATCATTAGAAATTTAAAATATTCAGTCACGCAAGAATCTTATAAATTTCTAAGGTATCCAAGATCAAACCTGCATATTGACCTATTTTTTCACATTATTCTTTTTTTTAAGGCTCATGACAGAAAAAATAATAGAAACATATGTTTCTGATCTGAAAAACCATCTGGACTTGATTTTTTCAATGATAAATGAGGTATGGCTCACCGAGCACAAAAAAAGAGATTATTTTTCCAATTTTTTTTAAAGCTGATCGGATTTTATTGAGCCTCTAGCTATACCTTTGATCGGATTTTCAGGATTTCAACGATTTTAAATTATTTTTCAGACTTTCAGACAAAAACTAGAACTCAAATAATAAGTTTTCTTCTCTAAATTTCCTGTAAGTCTGTCTGTCCGGATGTCCAGCTATCGTCATTTTTTGTTTTTTGCAACCGGATATCCTCTACCGCCAGTATTTTTTATTGAGTTTGATAGCTCAAAATAAGGGATATCCTATTTCCTTCCGTGCCGTTTTTCAAAATATTTTTTACCTAATTAAGCCACGCCCACTTTTTTTTGACCCGAATAATCCACACGCCCCTTTATAAGATTCTAAGATTCTAAGATTCTAAGATTCTAAGATTCTAAGATTCTAAGATTCTAAGATTCTAAGATTCTAAGATTCTTAGATTCTAAGATTCTAAGATTCTAAGATTCTAAGATACTAAGATTCTAAGATTCTAAGATTCTAAGATTCTAAGATTCACAGATTCTAAGATTCTAAGATTCTGAGATTCTAAGATTCTAAGGTTCTAAGATTCTAAGGTTCTAAAATTCTAAGATTCTAAGATTCTGAGATTTTAAAACAAGGTTTTTAAATTTTAAAATTATTCGTAAATCGAAGATTTGAAAAACTAAAGATTCTAAAATTCAAAAAAATTGCTTCTATAGTTCTAAAAATTCAATATTTCAAGATTTTAAACGCCCATTTTATCCTTTACATCATGACCCATCTCTTTCAATTCGTCATTTCATGATTTGTTCATTTTCCCCTTTTTCCTGGAAACCATCTGGTAATTTGTGTCTAATTTCTCTGATTTCAGCTGTTACCAATTTCCTACTTTTTGTTTCAAAATACCAATTTTTGTTCTTGATTTCTCTTTTCCAAATTTTTATATCCTTTTTCTGCTGACGCATATCCCATAATTTTGTATTCTCTGATGTGTTTCTGCATCACTGGGAATCCAAAAAATGGGCGGAGCCAGAAAAATAAACCCCGGCTTAACATTTTGCTGTTTCTGCAGTACAGATCCACTTGGATGATCCCGGATTCCTTTTTTTTCTGATTTCATTTCCTTCTGATCTATGACCACCTTCTGAAACATATAAATATTGTCCTCCATCCGAATATTTGCAGGGCAAAGATGAGCAGTGTCCCACCGGATATTGCTCAGAATATTTCCGACGATGTCCCAGAATGTTCGAGAAACGAGGCATACGATTTCAATCGATACGCTTTGATCGTTTACTGTGGAACGCCCATTGCCATCGCTGGAGTCATTTGTAATTGGATTCTCTTTGTGAGTCCCTCATCTATTGAATATCCAGAATTTGCTAATTTTCAGAGACTTTTCACCAAATCCAAATCTACCAAATCTCCTGCCTTGTATCTCCTTTTGCTAGCTGTTCTTGGTCAGACCCTTACCCCAAATCGAATATTTCCAGAATCTAAAATTTTCAGATCTGCTCATGGACCTTCTCTACATCCCATTCTTCACCGTCGACGCCTTGGCAATATACCACAAATCCGAATTTTTATATCACATTTGGCATGACTATGCCATGTTTGTATTCGGATTGAGTCGTCTCGGTAAGACTACAAGTTTTTGGAATTTTTAAAGAAATTTGAACTTTTTCAGTGCAATTTGCGTCCACCTATATCATTCTGTGCGCGACGATTGAGAGGTTTATTGTGGTCGCGGAGATCACCTCGTTGAACTTTTTGATATCGTAAGTGCGGGCCACTTTGAACCCGCCTATCTTACTTGCTTGAATTTTTACGAAAAAGTTGTCATTTACAAAAATGAAGCTCTATTTTTGTTTAGTATAGGATTTCCAGACAAATCGAAAAAATCTGAACTACTTTTTTTTTGGATTCCAAAATTGACCTGTAATAGGAGGGAGTCAAGTTTGCGCTAATTTTTCTCGGCTATGCAAGATATCAAAAAACCTATGCAAGATATCAAAAATATGTCAATTGATAAAATATTTCTGATATTATGATAAACAATTCATCAGTTGACCGATTTTTGATATCTTTGACAAGAACCGAGACGATCTGGCTCAAAGATAAAAGTTAGAGGGCCCTTCTATTACAGGTTTTACGGTAATTTTGTCTAGAACTGGTCAAATCGTATTCTGAATAGTTTAATCCTAGAAAACTTCCAGATCCACCGGTCGCTTCGTTACCATTGGAATCACGTTCCTCAGTGTCGCCATCCTTCGTCTTCCTGCATTTTTCGAGTACTACATAACCTATCGTCCAGACTGTCCTCTATACGAAAACTACGACTACACCCCATTACTTGCCGGCTGGGAGCACTATCAAATGTTCAATTTCTATGTAATGACTGTTCTTCACATTTTTGTTCCTTTTGCTCTTCTTCTAATGCTCAATATCTCAATTGTTGTGGTTACGCAAAGGAAGCTAACTGGAATTGGATGGGCTGTAACAACATTCATTGATATGCCAAAAGTTAGTGAGATGATTAGAAAGGAATCGATCAATTCGAATAAGAGACGACGAGATGAGTTACGGTATGCCACGTGGACAATGGTGTCTATTGCGACGACCTATTTGTGTTGCTCATCACTATCTCTTTTTATTGGAATTCTTGAGAATGTTTGGCCGCAGAATACTCTCTTGTTTCAAGAGGATGGATCTAGGTAACACTGTCTACAAGAAAAAAAAATGTTTTCATATTTTTTTTCAGCACAAAATTCTATACACTGGCTTCAGATGCTGTGAGCATATTGGTCGCCGTCAATTCTCTACTTCGAATTTTCGTCTATCTTCTATGTAGTCCAAATTTCAGGTACCAATTTTTAAATAAAAGTTTCCGGAACTAATTTCCATAATTATTTCAGAAAACAACTTGTCAAAGAATACCCCTGCTTGAAATGTCTGGCGTGTGGAGCAGATAGCAATGAGAAGACTAAAAATATCAAGGAGGAGAAAAAACTGTTCATTGGATATCAGAATTTGATAATGGGAGCTAGGGTGGACATGTTGTAGAATCAATTGTTTGAATAATTATCTTAATTTGCGGGTTAATGAAAACTAATGTGAGAAAAAATATAATAAAATTGTTCAAGCTTTTTTTTGTTGTGATGAGCAATTCAGTTATGTCGGTCCACCAGGCAAATCAAAAATTGCATAAATCAACTTTTTGAACTTAAATCCTGGAGCAACACTTTGAAATGCCATGAATAAGAATTGTAGATCGGAAGTGTTTTTGTTGACGACATGACAAATTGATAAGAGATCCGTGAATCTAGAGGGTCCGTGTTTTTGATAAGTCCGTTGACAATATTTGAATAATGCGGCGCCATACTTGTTTTGTTGAGACGAAATGGAGCTTCTAGAAATTTCAGATAAGTTGTGAGTGCCTGAAAAATCATTCAGTCAATTTTGAGCTCGATTATCTCTGTTCCTATTAAAGATATCAAACATTTGTTAACTAAATAAGAGCTTGGTGATATTATGATAAATATTTTAATAGTTGACAAATATTTTATATCTTTCACAGGAATCGAGATAATTGAGCACAAAGTTGACGATTTGGTTATGTTTCTACTAGAGAAAATCCGGTAGTTAGCTTTGAAGTCCTGAAAAAATAGTCCAGGATTTTTGAATATTTGATAGTATGCTGAACAAAAATAAAGTTTAGTTTTTTTTAATTTGTTAAAGGTGGTGTACGGTGAAATTTTTTATTGCATCAAAATGTGCAGAAATGCATGTAGATTGACATAAAAATAAAGAAAAAATTCAAAAAAATTCCTTCATCGAGAAAAACGCATCGAAAAATCCGCTGAACGCCCTTAGGGACTAGGTTTTTTTTAGACCGCCCGGTGAGTAAAAGCGCGCGAATTCAAA